CAAGATGGAGTTTCCTAAGCAAGTCGTCCTTCCTCTCAAGAAGATCAAGAGTACACTCTCCGCTGGACTTCGTCGTTCTGCGATCGATTCTTTGCTTCTTCTTGAGGATCCCACTTCCAAAGTCATCATGAGTGTGATCTTGTGTACTGGTGAGTTCTACTCTTTCTAGATGCCTTCTTTCTCCGTCTGGGCGAGCTTTGTTTGTTGTCGAGGGTCTTCGGGAAGCTAATCTCTTTATCGCGCTGCAGCTGGTTACGACCATACGATTCGGTAAGTGTGGTGTTGTTTACGCTACCACTGCCTCGATTACCACGGGAAGTGGGTGCTACAGCTACTGACATTGGAATTACAGCTTCTGGGAGGCTCTCTCTGGAATTTGCTCCCGTACCATCCAGCACCCCGAATCGCAGGTGAACCGTCTCTGCATCACTCCCGACAAGCGTTTCCTCGCGGCAGCTGGACGTCACCATGTCAAGTTGTTCGACATCAAGTCCACCAATCCCAACCCCGCGATGACCTTCGAGGGCCATGGTGGAAATATCACCGGCGTTGCTTTCCATTGCGAGGGAAAGTGGATGGTCACCAGCTCCGAGGATGGGACCGTCAAGGTTTGGGATACCCGTACAGGCAGCCAGCAGCGCAACTACGTCCACAAGGCTGCGGTCAATGATGTTGTCATCCATCCCAACCAGGGCGAGCTCATCAGTTGCGACGCCAGCGGAACTATCCGTGTTTGGGATCTTGCCGAAAGCTGCTGCACTCACCAGTTGATCCCCGAGGAGGGTATTTCCATTGCGAGTGTTAGTGTTGCAAGTGATGGGTCTTTGCTTTGCGCTGGAAACAACAAGGTAACACTTATTCGTTTCTGTGTTAATCGATCTGCTAACAAACACATCACAGGGCAATGTCTATATCTGGCGCATGCTCCAGGAGGATGAGGTCACCAAGATCGTCCCCGTCGCCAAATTCCAGGCTCACAAGGACTACTTGACCCGTGTTTTGCTCTCTCCCGACGTCAAGCACCTAGCCACCTGCTCTGCCGACCACACCGCTAGGGTCTGGGCTTTAGATCCCGAGTACGGTCCTGCCAAGGAGCTCGCCAAAGAAAATGCCGCCAAAGTTGCTGCTGGAGTTGTTGACAAGTCGCCCCAGAAGAACGGCACCTCGAACGAAGATGCCGTGGCCAGTCCGTCCCCTGTGCAGAACGACTTCACTCTTGCAAACGTCGTCAGTAGCCAAGCGCGCGAGATCTGGAAACACGGAGAGGAGCTCAAGGATTCCGATGCAACTCCCACCGCAGAAGGTTCCGCCAGCAAAGAGAACGATGCGTCCACCCACTTCCCCGCCCTCCCCGACGGACCACCCATCGACCCCTCCACCAACTCCCTGTTCTTGGAGGCCACCTTGACAAGCCACCAGCGCTGGGTTTGGGATTGTGCGTTCTCTGCCGACTCTGCCTACTTGGTCACCGTCTGCAGCGACCACTACGCCCGTCTCTGGGAGCTCTCCACCGGCTCGATCATCCGCCAGTACAGCGGTCACCACCGTGGCTGCGTCTGCGTCGCGTTGAACGACTACTCCGAGCCCCGTTAAATCGCAGCGATTCACCACAGTTGAAGCTGTTGTTCAACGGCAGATGATCTCATCCCCCATTGTTCCCTTCTCATGCATTTGTTTCAATCATCAATGGCGTATCGGTCTCATAACCACCCCTTCCCCCTTCTCCTTTATTCAACTACTACCTTCCATGAGATCCCCTTTGTTAGCGAGGCGCTAGGTATCGGCCGGTGGTAATGGTCCATATTTCTTTGCTTTATTCTCCGGAATGAAAGGGACTCAGAGACGTAAATACCCCCCAGGCCCTCCAATTTTTCTCATTTTGTCTCCTTTTTCTTTTTTCTATTTCTCTTTTTTTGTTTTACGGAAAGGATATGAATGAAGGTGCAGATACATATTCGCAGGACTGTGTTATCTAGCTACTAGCTACGGTGGGAGAGATGATGATGATGCAATGAAACTATGAGCAATAGGAAATGGAACCATACGAAGTATTGTCGCATCAGCTTGTCTTGCCTTCCTAATATACTCGTCTCTCAAAATAAACTTAAGATGGTAAAGTAAAAACATGGGAGGTGTTGGCATATTGACATCAACCCGGTGCTTGCCTGTGTTGGTTTTAATACACAAAATAATTACCTCCAGGCACAGTGAAGGGTAGTAAGGTCCTCTCACCCGCGCACTGCTACCAGCTACTCTGGAGCATATTCTGGGGGGTAGGGTGCACGTGTCTTGCCTCACTATACTATACCGAGAGAATAAGATAACGTCTGTAAACCTGGGTGCAACTAGCACCCGCAATCGTCTAATTGGTAGAACGACATACCTTTTGCAATATCGCCCTTTCGCGCTGAAGTAGAAAACCTTGCAAGCATTGGGAGATTAAATTGGACCCAGCCAATTTGACGGGAGAAATTATTGAGAAAGTGATGCTTGTTAAGCATCTGCTTAGCCATGAGGCACAGTAGGTAGAAGTACTCGGATTCTAAAATCGGGGGGGGGGGGGGGGGGGGCGCCCCCCCCACCCCAGGGGTCATGATGTTTGTTTTGAGAGGGAAAAAAACCGGGCCCACAAAAAAAGAGG